AAAAAAAAAACAAACCAAAATCTGGAAGGAGTAGACAGAGATGTAGCATGTGGCTATTATGTGGGAAGCCTTTATGCACTTGCATAAAGTCCTGAGAACTTGAATTTCATATTTCAAGTGGGCAAGTATGTGTATGTATCCTGATTTAGCAAAGCTCTTAATCATATGCTTAAATTCCATTGACGTCAGTGGAACTTAAACATTTAGAGCATACCTTATCATCCTGTGATACGCCGCAGATCTGGCAAGTCAGAGCAGACTCAGTCAAGTCTGCAAGCTCTGCACGCGAGCTGACACGCGCTGCACTGCGGCACATGCAGTTGTATTGGCAGTGAAATGCATGTCCATGTGCAGAAAATGGCGGCAGTGCACTTTTGAACTAAGCACCTCTCAGTGCTGATGCACATTTCACTGCTTATACAACTGCATCTGCCACAGCACAGGTGCTTTTAAAAGCACCTGGTGCTGTGGAGCAAGCATGTGTACAAATGCCCTTACTTTCCTGACTGAACTGGGGGGGACTTTACTAGTCTAGGAGAAGTTACACAGTGATGCACTGTTTAGGACAATAAGACATGGTCCAGGCTACATTGGAATCCTGATCCGTCAGGGCCTAATAATGTGCAGGTACGATATAAGGGGAGTCCTAAACACAGCACCAACAAAGATTATTGAATGGTTATACGATGAGGAGGTACACTCTGCAACTAAAAACCAGACTTTCTAAAATGGAGCAAGATGTGACTTGGTATAACAGAGCTGGATTTGGCCCATTCTTATATGTACACATTGATAATCTACCTTTAATAAGGTAAGTTCTCTTTTTTGAATTTCCTGCTAGTGTGTTTAACATTGAGTTACCTCGTGGTTCTTCACGCAGAGTCAATATGTGCTGAAATCCAAGTCCCTTCTTTAGGCAGTTTCCTCCCACTACCAACCCTATCATTTGAGACAATCTCAAGGTTCAAGGGACTTGTTTAAACTTGGGAAAAGAGCCTGAGATGACTGTTCCAGCTGCTGTTTTGCTGGTGCTTGATAACTGCCCGGCTACCTGAGCCTATTTATGAATGGTTCCCAGCACCCTTGTTAGCTTGTACATTGTGCCTGAGGGACATCATGTTTTATGGAATGAGTAGAAAGGCAATGCTGCAACAGACACAGCCACTTTGGACTACTCCTCTGTTTCCCACAAAGCACGGTCCCCAGCACTGGAT